TCAGCCTCGAACTCTTGTTGCCGCAGCTCTGGGTCCAATTGTTTTGGAAGGTGTCAGCCCCAAACTCTGGCTGCCAGATCTCTGGGGCCAGTTTGTTTTTGGAAGGTGTCAGCCCCAAACTCTTGCTGCAGGATCTCTGGGGCCAGGAAGGTGTCAGCCCCAAACTCTTGCTGCCGGATCTCTGGGGCCAGTTTGTTTTTTGGACGGTGTCCGCCACAAACTCCTGCTGCCGGATCTCTGGGGCCAGTTTGCTTTTTGGGTGTCACAGTGTCCGCCCCAAAACTCTTGCTGCAGGATCTCTGGGGCCAGTTTGTTTTTGAAAGGTGTCAGCCCCAAACTCTTGCTGCAGGATCTGTGGGGCCAGTTTGTTTTTTGGAAGGTGTCAGCCCCAAACTCTTGCTGCAGGGTCTCTGGGGCCAGCTTGTGCTTTGGAAGGTGTCAGCCCCAAACTCTTGCTGCAGGATCTCTGGGGCCAGCTTGCCTTTTTGGAAGGTGCAGCCCCAAGTGCTGCAGGATGATTGGTGTCAGCTGTGTTTTTTGGAAGGGGTCAGCCCCAAACGCAGCAAATTTTGAGTCATCAGTAGCTTCCGTGGCAGCTGCTGGCCTCTTTGTTTTCCTGGCCCATCAGCATTTGCAACTGCTGGTTTCCGAATTGCCGCAGTAGTTTAGAAGTCAGTACTGCCAAAGTGCGGCTAAATTCCTCCAAACTTTGTTTGCCTAAGTGCAGTAGTTTCGCAGTAATTACTACCAAACTACTGTGAAATTATCTCCAGCGCAGTAGTTTCACAGTAGTTACTTCCAAACTACTGCCAAACTACTGCGGCATTAGCTCCAGCGCAGTAGTTTTCGCAGTAGTTACTTCCAAACTACTGCCAAACTACTGCGGACACATGTGTCCATTAGCAATACATTTGAAGCATTTCCGAAAAAAAGTGTTAATGCGTCAGCGCCAAACCTCTTGCTGCCAGACCTCGGGGCCCATTTTTAGGCTAAAACAACAACAGCCGCAGCGATCTGGCAGCAAGAGTTTGGGGCTGACACCTTCCAAAAAAAAAACAACCCCAGAGATGCGGCAGCAAGAGTTTGGGGCTGACACCTTCCAAAGCACAAGCTGTCCCCAGAGATCTGGCAACAGGAGCTTGGGGCTGCAAGAGTTTGGCGCTGACACCTCCCCCAAAACATGGACCGAAAGATCTGGCAGCAAGAGTTTGGGGCTGAACCCTTCCAAAAAAAACTGACCCGGGCTGACACCTTCCAACGCACAAGCTGGCCCCAGAGATCTGGCAGCAAGAGTTTGGGGCTGAGCCCTTCCAAAAAAAAGCTGACCCCAGAGATCCGGCAGCAAGAGTTTGGGGCTGACACCTTCCAAAGCACAAGCTGGCCCCAGAGATCTGGCAGCAAGAGTTTAGGACTGACACCTTCCAAAAAAAAGCTGACCCCAGAGATCCGGCAGCAAGAGTTTGGGGCTGACACCTTCCAAAGCACAAGCTGGCCCCAGAGATCTGGCAGCAAGAGTTTGAGGCTGACACCTTCCAAAAACAAACTGGCCCCAGAGATTCTGCAGCAAGAGTTTGGGGCTGACACCTCCCCCAAAAAATGGACCCAAAGATCTGGCAGCAAGTGTTTGGGGCTGACGCCTCCAAAAAAAACTGGCCCCAGAGATCTGGCAGCAAGAGTTTGGGGCTGACACCTCCCAAAAACATGGACCCAACGATCTGGCAGATTGGGGCTGACACCTTCCAACAAAAACAACAGGAGTTTGGCCGCAAAAGTTTGGGGCTGACCCCTGCCGAAAAAAAAACAGATGCAAGAGTTTGGGGCTGACGCCTTCCAAAAGAAACGGGATGGCCCTACAATTTGTTTGCTCTCAAGTGTCAAGGCCTCTACGGACTCAAGGTCTTTAATTGCTAGGGGGTTAATGTTGAGCATATCATGCCTGACGCTTTAAAGGATAAACAGTGCTTGGCGCTGGATGTGCCGGGTTTTTGGGCTGACGGCTTTCCGAGACAAATGGACCTACAGAGTGAGTTAAAACCAAAAGCAAACAAATGGCAACGGCCGATTGAAGCCTCAAAACTCTCGCAAGGCCACAGGCGCCAGCAAGCAAACGCAAGCGCCAGGAGCTGCCGCTTTTTCGTGCGCAAAAACAAAAGTCTGTGGCCAGCGGCTGGCGGCTTCAGCGGCGTGGATCTCGCCTCGCACATGTGAGCGGGCACGCTGCGCGCAACTGCAAACGCAAAAGCAAAAAACGAGCAAACGCAAAAGCAAAGACCTGCAGCCGAGACACCGGCGGATGGGCAGGTAGACGGCCCTTCACGCCTCGGTCAAACAGACATATCCACGTGCTGCAAACGCAAAAGCAAATTGTGGCTTGGCCCCTTGCCAGCTACGTGCCGCTGAGCAAAAGCAAAACGCCGCTGGCGGGCTCGGAGGCTTGCTAGATCTCCGGGTCGCTGCCTGCGCGGGCGATTGCAGCGCGCGCGACGGCGGCGCACGCGTGGCCTCCCCAGGTGTGGCGAGCGCGCCAGGCAGCCCACTCCTCCTCGGACCACTGGCGCGCAGGTCCTGCGCAAAAACGGAAAATACACACACACACACAAGCAAATGGGCTGCATCGCAAAAGCAAATGCAAGCGCGCAGAAGGCGGTCCTGACCCGGCCGCTGGCAGGCCAGGGCCGGGCTGCAGCGAGCGGAAGACAGCCCCAGCTGCCACGGCTGCCTCTGCGAACCCTTGCGGGTTGCGGGCCAGGACCTCCGCGGCGGCTCTGTCGGCCTCCCGGTCTGCCTCGCGCCAGCGGGCGGCCGGATGCGTCACGCTCTTTGGGCGCGCCCCAGCAGAGGCGCCCCTCCGCGGAGCGGTCGGCTCTGCGGCAAAAGCCTTGGCCGGCGAGGCTGGCGCCGAGGCTGCGGCCGGGGCTGGCGCTGTGGCCGAGGCTGGCGCCGGGGCCGGGGCTGGTGCTGCAGCTGGTGCCGAAGCTGCTGGGGCTGCTGGGGCTGGGGCTGGGGCTGGGGCTGGCGCCGGCGCTGGCGCTGTTGGTGCCTCGGCTGGTGCCTTGGCTGGTGCCTCGGCTGGCGCCTTGGCTGGTGCCTCGGCTGGCGCCGCAGCTGGCGCCTTGGCTGCCTCGGCTGCCGGTGCTGCTGGGGCGGCTGGGGCTGAGGCGCTTTTGGCGCCTCGGCTGCCTTGGCTGGTGCCGCAACCGGGCGCCTTGGCTGGCGCCTCGGCTGCCTTGGCTGGCGCCGCAGCCAGCGCCTTGGCTGCCTTGGCTGGCGCCGGGGTGGCTGGCGCCAAGGCTGACGGGGCGGCGGTTCCTGCTGCGGCCCGAGCGAGCCGCTGGCGCTGCCGCGCTGCCTCCAGCTCACCTTCCGGGAAATGAAGCTGCGAACGCACGCAGCAAAAACAAAAGTTGGCACTGCTGCTGCAAACGCAAAGCAAATGTTGGTAATGATGTTGCAAACGCAAAAGCAAAAGTTGGCACTGCTGCCTGCTGCAAACGCAAAAAGCAAAAGTTGGTAATGATGTTGCAAACGCAAAAGCAAAAGTTGGTCATGACGGTGCAAACGCAAAAGCAAATTGGACAAGCGCAGACCCACATGCGGCCTGCGCTGGCGCCGCCCGGGGTGGGCAACACGCCGAACTCCGCCAAGTCGGTGAAGACATCCAGCACCCGCTTCCGCGACTGGTGCAGCGCGGCCTCCAGCAAGCGGCAGCGCTGGCAGTCCCCGGCAGGCCACGTGGCTGGCAGTGCGCCGGGCTCGGCGGGGGCGGCCGGCGGAGCGCCAGGAGGGGGGGCTGCCACCGGCGCGCGGCCCGACATGACGCGCGCGTCATAGCCGGCCGCGCGCAGCCACTGGACGGCGGCGTCTCGCGCCTGCGCGGTGTCGAAGAACACCAGGCAGGCGCCCGGGCCGGTCGTCGCCCTGCGCACCGAGAAGTGGTGCGGAGCGGCTGCCTCCGGCCAGCGGCGCGCGCCCAGCCACCACCAGACCTCGGAGCTGGAGATCTCCGAAGGGAGACCGCCAACCCAGGCGCCATGGTCCCTGTAGGACGCGGCCATGGCGAGCGTCACGGCTAGCGCGCCTAAAGCCGGCGGAGCTTACGAGCCGTAAAGCGGCTGCGCTCATGCATGTACATGTGCAACACTGTGCAACGACCAAGCGTGGCAAACGCAAAAGCGAAGGAGCCTGCAAATGCAAATGCAACTGCGTGGCCGCAACGCGACACAAAGAAAAAAGCAATCTGCAAAAGCAATCTGCAAAAGCAATCCGCAAAAGCAATCTGCAAAAGCAACACGCTGACAACCAAAGCGAGCGCATGCAATCTGCGTTGCTTTCTCACCAACGCAGGCCCAGAATACCATCACAGAAACACTACAGGCTGCGAGCAATCAGCCGGAAAGGCCTCCTGCTTCGTATGAATCTGCAGCAGGCAGATCGCCGTGCAAAACTGGCAAAGACTGCGGCTCCGCGACTGCAAGTGCAGACGGGCGTGGCACTGGAATTCGCTGCACGCTTCACACAAGTGATCCAGCTGCGAACTACCCCGCAGGCGCTTCAAGGGGCGCGGCTCTTCCTCTGGCTCAGGGCCGGCCGGCGCCACAGGGGCGGGCAAACGCCTCGCGCGCTCTCCTGCGAGAAGGCATCCGTAGTTCAGGCCGCAGAAGATGCGAGCCGCGCAACTGGCGCAAACCTTCTCGTCTGTGGTGCGGCCCATGACTTCCACACCAAAGGCGAGCAAAGCTTCTGAATCTTCGCAGTGCGCGCAGCGGCCGTCGGGCTGGCTGCCTGTCAGCTCCGGGCTGTCGGAAAGCTCTGGGCTGTCGACAACATCCATGTCACCGCGGCTGGCGCCAGGCAGGGGCAACGTGGCTTGCGAGTCTGAGGACATGGCAGCTGCGGCGCTCAAGCAGCGAGTAAAGCAAAAAGCAAAAGGGACACGCAGCAATGTCGAACATGCGTGTTTTCCCGCGTTCGATCAAGCACTGCTGCGTGGGCCGCCTGAACTAATCAAAAGGAATGCCCTTCGCCCTGCACTCTTCCAGGGCTTGGGCGTGCGCTGCCCGTGCCGCCTCTATGCCGCCAGTTTTGAGAGCCTTGGCGTAGGCCCGGCTGGCGATGCACTTGCCCGTCATCTTCAGCTGCTTCTTTCCAGGAGCACTTGAAGTGGCCGCCTGCTGTTTCGCGGCTGGCTTCTTTGCCGGCCTCGATGTCCGGGGCGGCGGCTGTGTCCTGGCCTGGGCGTCCTTGTCCGGGCTGGCGGGCTCGCGGTCGTCGGCGTCCTTGCCTTGCAGCTTCTGCTCATAGGTGACAGGCTCCACCGACAGCGCGGCCTGCGCAGAGCGAGCAGAGATGCGTGCCGAGGTCATGCGCAAAGAAAAGCAAAAAGAAAATGCTGAGCGCCTGCAAAGCCTTGCTGGCGCTCCGCGGCTTAGCTGATGGCCGCCCAAGCATGGCCATGAAGTCCGGCCAGCCGTCGTCGCCCAAGGCAGTTGCGGCATCTGCGCCCGCCGCTGGCGCGAGCACCTGCGCCGCCAGGGCGAGCGGCAAGGCCGACGAGGTCGGCCCTTTGTCATCCCAGCGGCGAACCATGGCGGCCAGGCCCTGCAAGGCAGACGCCTGCTGCACTGTGGCCTTCCGCAGCGTCCTTTCTTGCAAGGTGGGGTCGTAGGCGCGCTCGCGGAGCTTGGCCAGGCAGGCGCGGACGCTGGCGCTCACCAGGTCTGCCCATGCCCGCATGGGCTGGCGGGTGAAGTTGCAGGGCTTGTCGTCGTGCAAGGAGACCAAGGCCAGCAGGGTCTTCTGGTTGCTGAGCACAGGCCCGCATCGCTGCAAGACGTTGGCGAAGAGCTCGTAGCCTGCGGCTGGGAAAGGTAGAGAGCAAAAGAAAGCACGACGCAAAAACAAAATGCAAGGCCGAGAGCGGCTGAGATGTGTCGCACAAGCGGCCTTCCACAAAGGCGGGAAGGGCTGTGGATGGCGCCGACTTCCAGCTGACTTGCAGCGCCCGCTCTAAGAGAGCAGTGAGGTCGCGGTCTTTCTTCGCCGCGAGGAAGGCTTGAAAGCACTGCATGATCTCATCCACGCTGACCTCCTGCACTGTCGTGCGCGCCCGCTTGTTGAGAAGCGCGGCCATGGCGGGCAGGGAAAATCAGGGTCGAAACAACTTGAGCAAACGCAAAACTTCCCGGAAGCGCGCAGTTTCAGAGCCGCCAAACGGACGCAAGCCAGCAAAAGCAAATGAGGCCAAGTCGTGCTTGAACTGAACAATTGCCGTTGCCGTTGCCGTTGCCGTTGCCGTTTGTGTTGCCGCGTTTTTTTGCCGTTGCCGTTGCCGTTGCCGTGAAAAGTTTATTTTGCAAGTCAATTAAGAAGTCACTAATTGCCGCGAAATGGGAATTGCCGTGAAAGTTAATTTTTACCGTGGGACTCTCTAACTGTCTTGACGGATTCGTTGGGCTTGCCTTTGACCAACTGAAATACAATAGCACTTCCTTGGCTCTGCGGATGCGAGGGAGCGAGATGATGTGACAACATTCTCATTGAAGCTATCGCGAGTAAAATTCGATTGGGGGGCGAACAACCATGTCAAGTAAGTTTTAGCCATCATTGCCAACCATGCACTTGGTAAGTACCCTGCCAATTCATGAACCCTCTTAGCTCCTTTAGTCAAATTACATGGCACATGCCCCCCTCTTTCGTTTGCTTCCCCAACTCTGGGGTAGACTTAGGATGCATTTTGCATTTTACCAGCGACTCAAAGGGAAGCAAACAATATAATATAGATTCTAAAACTGGGAAGTCTAATCATGAACTCCATATGACAAGCCGAATGGGGGCTAAGCCCTTCTGCTTTTAAGCCTTTTCCTTTCGACAGGGCTCCTTAAAATATACATTTTGCAACCATTTGAAACATGTTGGTTTTTTAACACCAACATACAGTTGGAGACCACCATTTGCAAGTTGCAATGTTCAGGTGTTGTCATGTAAGGATCCCTGTTTGACGCTGAGACAAGTTGAAGGTTCTACACATACCTACGCCCTATGCGCGAACTCGCGCGCAAAAGCGCCAGGAGAAGACGGTGCGTGAGATTATGGAGATCTTCAATCAAGAGTATACCGTTCGGCGGTTTCCTCAGTGCCATGCCTAAGGCCTAAGGCATCCCAGAAAGTGTACATACAGGGGTGTAGTTTGTTGGCGGGTACCTTGTTGGGGTGGTGTAAAAGGAAACTCAAGGACGGGTTACCTCTTATTACTGTGGTGATCATGTTTTTGAGCGTGTGGACCAGCAGTTTCTGACTGGGCAGTAGGCAGAGATGATGCGCGAGCTGCAGATAATATTGGCTTCATTGTTGGGTGAGGTAGAGCTAAAGTTTTGTTTGCAATGTTGGTAGGGACTAAATGTTTGCCAGCAACACATTAGCTATTTGGCAACAGGGTTGACTCCAATCATATTTGAAATGTTTGAACGTGTCAATCACATCATAGCTTTGGCACAGAGAGGGGCAGCTAGTTAATACAGGTTCTTCACCGAAAAGGTGCCATTACGTCAATTTTTAAAGCCCCAAAGAATTTGCCCCCGTGTCGATCGTGTGAGGCGACAAGTTCTTACTCGACGTCTTGATGTCACCATCCAGGCCAGACTTCGCCGACTGGACTAGGGACTCCACCGGCAACCTCAAAGACTTGTGAAGGATTGTGGAATTTCCCATGTTTAGTCATCCCCACTTGGACACATAAATGGATTTGGTGCCGCTCACCTTCACCCCCTCCTATTGCCACTACTACTAGTACTACTACTACTGCTGCTGCTGCTGCTACTACTACTACTACTACTACGGCTGCTGCTACTACTCGGTGAGAACTTGTAGCATGGCACTTTGGTGGTGACAATTTAAGGTGGGTTCTCTAAACCAAAGGACCCAAACACTTACTCTGGTGCTGATGAGGTAGCAGTACATTGTGAGCGTGTTTTGTTTTTTGAGGGTGCCCCCTTTTTGTGGCTTTCATTAACCAGCACTATCATTTTGGGGGCCCCTAAAAACCACGCCCACGCCAATACATATATATATATATATAGAGGGCGGGTCGGCATGGGGGCTGAGTTTTTCAGATTCCTGGGGGCTGAGTTTTTCAGATTCCTGGGGGCTGAGTTTTTCAGATTCTTGGGGGCTGAGTTTTTCCATTAAAAACACTAAAAAATACCAAACATATACGATCAAGACCGGTGACCTCTTAGATTTATTGGGGTGCGTTTTTGTTTTGTTGGCTGATGACATGCAAGCACAGATTCATTTTCGATCCGATGAAGACTCAGATGCATCCAGACCTGGAAGCTGAGAACTATTTTGCACAAATATCATTGTTGGACACAAATATTTAGCAAACGTGTGTCTGTAGCATATTTTGGATAATTGGCATGCTTACGCATGCCAAGTTTATAAACCTCAGGGTGCTAACTTTTGGAAGACGTATGTTTGGCACAAATCTTCAACACAAGTTGCATACGTATGCAATATTTTGGAAGACGTAGGCTTAGCAATCTGCAAGCAGATGTATGTTTGGGACAAATATTATTGTTGTGTTGCAATTCTGAAACACGTAAGTATGGCAAGCACAGCTTGCCACGCATATGAAATCATAAGAAAGGTAAGATATCACTGATCTATGCAGCTTTCAGCTGCAAGACTCATCTCTTTTTACAGTTGGATGTTCAATATTTTTCAATATACGCACCCATGCTCTTGAGACAAGACAGCTAACACAAACATATTTATCGCATAATGAGCTGGAGCAATTTGAGCACAGCTCCAATCTAGTTGCTTGAGCTCAAGAAGCACAAGATGCAAAGATGAGCACCTGCAACGATATCTGCCGATGCAAATAACATTCTCTGCATAAAGCTGTTCAGCTTTGAAATAAGAGCTTTGGAATAAGATTGTCTGCAGCTATTCGTGTTGCTGAAGAGCTCTTGCAACATTAAAGCTGTTCAGAATAGATTCACGTGGACACAAGCCACAAGCAATTGCTTGTGATGAGATGTTACCTGCAGAAGATGAAATGAGATAAATTATCTCCAGTTACCTGGAGTTACCTGCAGAATATCTTGGAAGAGGCTTATGTTCTGTTGATACACATCTCATCATATTATTGATGTCTTGCATCAAGAAAGCTTGCATCAAGAAAGCACCAACAAAGTATTGTCTTCAGATGATGGGCTGTGTTTTTTTTGTTTTTGGTTTTCTTGGTGTTTATGAGCAAAGGCACCAAAAAACAGACCCATGGCCCTGAACTAGCAGATGCAGATGATGGGCTGTGTTTTTTGGTTTTCTTGGTGTTTATGAGCAAAGGCATCAAAAAAACCAAAAAAAACACCCAAAAACACAAAAAAAAACAAAAAACCAGACCCATGGCCCTGCACTAGAAGATGCAGATGATGGGCTGTGTTTTTTGGTTTTTTGTCTATTTTTGTTTTTTTTGGTTTTTGGTCTTTTGCTGAAAAAAACTCAGCCCCCAGGAATCTGAAAAACTCAGCCCCCAGGAATCTGAAAAAACTCAGCCCCCATGACGACCCCTTCTGTATATATATACAGAGAGAGAGAGATAAAGAGAGTCATGGAGCTTTCACTTGGTGCTTGACAAACTCCATATTGGGCTTGGCTTCCCGCATGGGAATCAGCCATTCATGTGTGGGTGTCTCTTTGTTGGGCCCAAACAATTGTGGTTTTCCTTTTGGAAAACCCCCAAACGAAGTATCTTCAATATAGACAGACCCATATCTATACATAGGTCTGTCTATATTCATATAGATATATGATTCCTCACTTCATCACAGACCCTCAGGGACATATATATATATATATATTGCTCACATATGCATGCGGGTTCTATAAGATATATATATATATGTATGTATGTATATTCCTCACTTCACCCTGAAATGCCGGAACCCCGCATCAGGGCCATCGGGCCAGATGCTTCGCCAGGCATTCCTGTGGTCACCCAAGGCGGACTCCTACATGGAGCAGATCTCGCAGGCTGAAAGGGGGAAACCAACAGCTGCAGGTTTTGGCTTGGTTGGATTCTTTTCCCAGACCCCCATTGAGAATTCCAAGGAGTGGTTTTGGCGTTTTCAAGAACTCCCGGTTGGGAAGCAAAAATAGTTTAGGCCTTGACGCAAAGCTCTGAAATGCAGGATGACGCGGCATGACAAGCCATGGACATGTCGTTGCCCTTGTGGTTTGTATGCCTTTGGCACCGTCTTATTTGTTCCCTTGCACAAAGCAAGAGTGCACAAAAGAGAAACATTAAATTGCCGGTTGGCAAAACAACCCTGTTGACACAACGGGGGGGGACAGTTTGGCCCAAGAACTTAAACCGCTTTCCCTTCGGGATGGCTAACTTAAGCCTTGAGCCAAACTGTGAACCAAGCGCCATATAACAACAGGAACTCAAACCTACATGGTCGCGCGACAAAGAGCAAACCTAAGAAAGCGACAAACTTCGACAAGGCGGGATAATTATTCACCAAGTTCTACCCTACAGGTGGTACCTGCGTGCCAGTTCTTGAAGGACAGAAATGGAGGGCATCCCTCCGATTTTGCAAATTGTCCCAAGGAGCAGGCGACTTACCTAGTGCACTATGATGATGACCCACTTTGCGGACTTGCAAACATGGTAAATGGCTTACAACAGCGACAAGGTGATGTTCTCATAAAAACACGCTAAGTACCCTCCTGACGAAACCACTGTCCGAGAACGCAGTTCAGGCCATTGCTGCCGTGATGGATTGGAGAGATCACCTCACCGCGGCGAACATCGGGTCACGCCCTTGGGTCTTGCAACTTTTTGGGAAAGCCGTAAAGAAGTTCTGGTTGGGTGCAGAAGCAGTTTGTCAGGTTTGTCCACTAAAATTCAAGTGCGTTCGGGGATGTGGATAAGCAGTTCCGGGGTCCCTAAATTGCCCTTTATCTCTCACCTTTCGTTTGCCATTTGAAATGGAGAGGCTCGGTCTGGTGTGATATTTAAGGAGAATGATAGGCAGCATTGGTGCGTAAAAGGGAAGCGTAGCGGGAACACACCGATTTGTTCACGTGCCATTGTTTTGGTCGAATTATTCTCAAGGTCTTTTTGAT